AAAAAAAAAAAAAAAAAAAGAAATACAGCCTCTGAAATATCACAACTTTTAAAATACTTTTATAATTTGTATGAATTTGTAAAATTCTTTCAAAGGATGAAAATGTGATGTTTTGCAAATATCACTATTTTGACATTTTTATAATTTGCATGAAAATGAATTTGTTAAAATTCAAAGGATGAAAAATGTTGGTGTTTTTCAAAACACAATTAAACAAAGCACATAGTATCTTTGGAAATATTTCAGGGTGTGTGGTAAAACTAAAATGATACTAGTGGGACTTCTGCTAAGACAAGATCAGTAGCATAGTTTCTGACATTTACTTTATAATGAGTTTTACCAAAAATTGCAAATCAAGTACTATTCCATTTATTTCAGGGTAAAATTTTAATGTTTTAATACATTTGAATATGACAAGTTCTGTTACGTGATATGATTTAATGGATTTAATGTAATTTATGAAATAATTTAGTACTTTACATTTACTGTGTCCGACATGATTGGAGTAAGAATTTTCTTAGAATTATGACTTTTTAGTTTTCCTGATAGTTTCCTGATCTACTGAAACTTTTTTTTGTAAAAAGTCACAATACTGTAATTTGTTAAAGACAGCAATACTGTGAGACATTATTATTCTTTTACATAGTAGGACATATGCTTTAAGTAATAATTGCAAAGGTACAACAAATATTTCAAACATATAACACCAAATTACATGATCTTTCTTGCTGAATAATCACTAATGGAATTACCACTTTATGGAAATTAATAGATTGTATTACTTTAAAAAAGTATTTTAATAGTACCCCTTGTAAAAAAGCCAATGTATTTATTGCCTGTGCATTTCAATTTACCGTAAAATACCGGGCAGGAATACTAATGTCTTTTAAATTTTGTCGAAGCAGGCAATCCCTCAATGATATAGTGATATTGCTAGTGGATCCTAACTCTTTAAAATAGATTTCCAAACCACTGGAATCACTGACATCTCTGAAAATTGAAGGAAAGAGATGTGCTTCTTAAAATAGGTGTATACAGGGCTTATTATATAACTACTTCGGAATGTCTAAGTTAAGTTCTCTTCTGTTCCATAGGCTTTTCCTTTCACTCCTTTCTCTGCCATGCCCTTCTTCATAAAAGTGGTTTTCCAAGTGTGGTCTCAGACCAGTAGCATCATCACCTGAAACTTGGTAGAAGTATGAATTCTTGCGCCCCACCGAAGACTATTTGAATCGTAAACTGTGTTACCTTGAACCTGTGTTTTGTCAGTCCCTTGAGATGATTCTGATGCATGCTAAGGTTTGAGAAATGCTGTTCTGTAGTCAGAATTCCTATCAAAAATGGCACAAGCACCTGCCACACCACCTTTCTGCCATCCCCAATATACTTTATCAACATCTGTGACCACCTCCATTGATAATTTTCAAGTCTTTGGGGGAAAAGATGCTTATTCTTATAAAATAGTTGGGGAGCCATCTTTTCTTAAAGGTCCCCCTTTAAAAATTTATCTACCTTCATTAAGTAAGTGCTTAGAAAAGTCATACTCAAGCTGTTTTTCCAAATGGTATTTATTCATGTTGCATAATTTATACTTTTCCATTAGAGTAAAGTAATAGCTTATGTTTTGTGTAACACTTTACCAGTTATAGAGCACTTTTGTAGCACTCACCCAATTTTCTGTTCTCATCATCCCCTTTTTACATAGGTTAGAAAACTAAAGCTGAAGGGAGGTGCCATCCTGGTGGGGGTCAGAGCCCATACTGCAATCCCAGTGGTGTGTTTCCTAGATCACTGTTCTTTCCAGTTCATCTCTACTTAAATATTTTGTTAATTTGATCCTGCAGCTAATGGTAGTCTTTGTTATAAGAGGTAGTTAATCAGCTTTGTGAAGACTGAACTCTACATATACATTTCCAAAGACCTACCAAATACTGGGATGAAACT